TAATATGTTTTCCAGACGTGTTATAAAAAAACACTACCATTATAATTAAAAGCCTATAATGGTGTATTAATCATAGATAACAAACAAATCCATTTCCTTAATTAAAGATTATCAGTTAAATAAAAAAGTATTTGCAAACTGCCGGGTCATGTGTCGGAATTCCCACAGGTCATCACCAATAGGGTTGAGTGGGGTAATATGACGCACTTTCATAAATGATCATTTTATTAAATATATCTATTACAATGTTCCGGAATTGCGTCGAGTATAAACTAATTAATAAAGAACGGTGCCAAATGATATCTTTTAGATATTTTCCAAAAATGACTAAAAACTTAAATTGCCATCTTAGCCCACTTTACTATACACACAAAATCTCGTGTATTCTTAAACAACACTGAACGAAAATAAATCATTGTGATTTATCATTTTTGTGTTTGAGTCTCTCAGCTTGTAATTTATTTTTAAATGCGAAATAATATTGAAATATCACGCAACAAATAAATAAAATTATCTTTTCAACTCAATTTTGGCAACAGATCCTAAAAGATCTCAAGTTGAAAAATATTATTATTAAAACATTAAATTCGTAATTTTCATATTTTTAGATGGATTAAAGTTCTGATCTAGGGAGTTTTAGATTGTTAAGAATTTATTTGTTATGTTGACAAGTGTAAACTACATGTACTATATATTCATTTTACTAATTCACCATTGCTATTGGTCAACCGTCTATAAAACATTTATACTGCATTTAAAATTCTCATTATATTAATGGTATTCAATATTAAAGGTTTGGGAATGATTACCAAATACTGTTGAAAGCAACTCCCAATATTATTTTTCCACGTAGTTGGCTATGCATTAATGCTTTCTTATTTTATGCATTTTGTTGGTTATCGTTTAATTCTGTTGACGTCATCGCTGGAAAACGGTGGGCAATGCATGGCTGATAGCGTTACAGCGTTTGAACTCTAATGCATTCCAAAATAAAAACGTAAAAAATTGTTAACCTAATAATGACGCGTTACTATAATAGTATACGAGGTGTGTTCAGAAAATAACGGGAATTGTTCAATTTCGCGGGTTCGGAGGGTCCGGTTGTCATAAAATTTTCTTTATTATGTTGGTATACATGCCCCCGAAGTATGATAAAAACTTTAGCTGTTTTCATTGTTTACTTTGTCTGTGGCAGCCGCTAAGGTTAGACGTGTTTTATGTTCTCGGCGATTTTTCGTTCGTTAAAAGAAATGGATCAAAGAATTTTGCTTAAAAAATGAAATAAATTCTGTGAAATGTTAACAAAGGCCTATGCGAGTCTGCTATAAGTAAAACAAGAGTTTACAAGGTATAAGAGTTTCCAAGATGGCCGTGAAGACGTTGAAGATGACGAACGCCCCGAACGCACAAGTACATTAACAACCGATAAAAAAAGTGGAAGTAATGGTTATAAACCATCAGAGAAGTCGCTGATGATGTTGGAATATCGATTGGCTCATCCCATGAAATTTTTTTGGAATGTTTTGGGTATGAAACGCGTGGCAGCAAAATTTGTTCTAAAATTGTTAAATTTTGAACAAAATTTTTGTCCAAAAACAATTCTGTAATGATGCCCAAGCCTCCTTATTCGCCAGACATGCCTTTGTCTGACTTTTTCCTATTCCCAAAAATAAAGAGAACCTTAAAGGGCCGTCGTTTTGCAACCATAGATGACATTAAAAGCGCATCGCTGAAAGAACTAAAGGCTATCTCAAAGATCGAGTTTTATAAGTTTTTCGAGTATTGGAAGAAGAGCTGGCACATGTGCATAATATCCAATGGGGACTATTTTGAAGGCGACAACATTAATGTAGACGAATAAATATTTGTTTCAAAAAACGAAAATTCCCGATATTTTTTTAACACACCTCGTATAGTTTGATAAAGGCCCAGTGTTGCTATGTACCGCACATTTGGTGCTAACTTCTGCCCGTGACTAAAGCGCCATAAAGCCATAGCTTGTCACGATAAGGAGTTTTAAAGGTGGGAAGTAGGTATGAAGAAACGTTGATTTATTTATAAACTGATTTAAGTTTGAACCTATTTGGCAACATAGCAAATTTTAAATGACAGTAAAGATTTGTAAAAATGTATTATTAAATATACACATAATAGTTATTTATGTATTAAGGGCATAATAAGGTTTTTATGGTCCGAGGCGCTATTTCGAGCCCGAGCGCGTTAGCGCGAGGGCTAGAAAAGCGTCGTAGGACCATAAAAACCTTATTATGCCAGCAATGCATACAAAACTTTATGCACGATTAATATATTATTATTTTTAATATATTATTGTTTTTAAAGACGTTTACGTCAAAGAATTTTTGTTATAATTGTCATATTATATAATGTCAACTGACATCAGTCAGTTTTAAAGTTTAAAGATGAATGAAATTGAGGAAGCAGCTGAAAAGGCGAAAAATTGCGGCCTGCTGCCGGAAAAATCAAAATCTTTATACGAAAAAACTTACTTCGAATATATCAAATGGTGTAAAATTGTTGTTTTTAATTTTTGACGTTTCATTATAGCCCTTGGGTCATAATAACGCCCGCGGGCTATAAAAAGACGTTTACGTCAAAGAATTTTTGTTATAATTGTCATATTATAATGTCATCGTGCATAAATACATTTATAACTGACTAAACCTTATTATTGACAAAAACTTGGGTTAAAGAGGATTGCGGCAATATAAAACATACACAATTGGGTTATGTTCGCAGTTTGCAATGTGTTCTGGTATAAGTAAATTTGCATTGAAAAATAGGAAAAACGAAAATTACGGGGAGAAAAAGTTGTAAACAAATTTAACTTTTTATAAATGGATAAATGGCTGCTTGACCCTTAAAAACCCTAAAGTTTTTGAAACTAAGTTTCGCAATTTAATTTGGAAAGATAAGAATGTTTTTCCTTGTATATCTCGGAGCAAACAATTCTTCGTGTATATTTTTGTGATCATTTTTTATTTCAGTCCATGCAGGACAATGTTTTTGTAGCTGAATAAACACTTGACGTGCAAGAGGTTCCTCAATTCATGCGCACTTTTTACACGCTTTGGAGGACCTACCCCAAGTGGCCACTTAGTATCTACGACGACGAAATTTCTTCTAGTGGCAATTTGGGACACAATGACTTTTGTGTGTTTAGTGAAATCCGCTAATTTCCGTGAAAGTTTAGTTAATAGAATAAAGGTTCAAAAATTAAACCCTGTGTTTTATTTATTAAGATATTTTTTTACGAAAACCAAAATCTACATGTAGACGGCATGTGTATGTCAGACAAATGCCTAAAGCCTAATATCAAAACTTTACGATTTTGTTTATCAACTTTACGCCCTATCTAAAAAGCTAAACAACATGGTAACTCGCAAACAACATGATAAATGACGTAGGGGTAGATACATGCATCTATAATCTTAATGTATTACATATTCGCGATAATGCAAATGGAAATTGTTTTGTGATGCTGCAGCAAAATTCAGATACACGTAAATTTAATACATACAACATAATTTATTAGTAGGGTAAAGTTACATAATATGACAAAATAATAATACGTTAAAAATAACATAAACAATAAAAGTTTGTTAAATATTGTCAAATTCAAACAAATGCTTTGGATTTTTTCTTGTGGTGTGAAATACAAATTTCAATTTTCAAAAAAAAAGAAGAGATAATTAAAATTTAGAGAGTAAATAAGAGAAAATTTTTACCGAAAATCTTAGTTCGAAATTTAGTTTCTTTGTTCATAAGGTTCATAAATTTTTTATAGTATGCTGACTAGTTTAATATGGTTTATTACATAAATCATATTTGCAATAAAATGGCAATAATAAAATCCAATCATGATTTGCACTGCTTTAAGAAAGCCAATAAAAATACAATGTAATGGCATTAAAGGTCTTTCATATAAATTGGAAGTTCTGCGTAAGAATAAATCAAATATTTCGGTGGAAAATAAATTACTTTATATTATTATTATTTGTAAAGAAAGTTTTAAATATCTGAGGTAGAAAAAGTATACTAAAAATATCAGTTCACTAAGTAAATTTAACACATCCAAAGCAATCGAATCAAATATAAAATATTATTAAAAATTATAAGAAATAATTTTACAAAAATTGATTCTATCCTCCGTGAATCTGTTTTTGCTTTACATTTTAAGCAGCGGATGGCGCTTTAATCATTTTAAATAAGCAAAAACCTCTGTTTACGACATTATAGATGCATGTGATTCCTGAAGGTCAGTTAGAATTTATATACAGATGAGAGTGTTGCTGTTTTATAATTCAAAAGTTTAAGTTCATTAATTTGCTATTTAAAAACCTATCCACCGTGAAGTGTAATATCTCAGTAAGTAGATTTTTTTTATAAATATTTTATGTATGTACAATTGTATTTTTTATAAATATTAAGGTGTCAAAAGATACAATAACTTATTTCAAATATACAAAGGGATGTTTAAAAAAAACATAGGAAATCCTAACCTCCGTGAAGCTCTAATATCTCAATATATTCACCCATATATAAAGTTTGTTTTTTTATTCAAAATCTGACATATTTGATTAGGTTGGTACTTTATATAAAAATACTTAAGTAGTTGGGTATTTTAAATATTTAAAATTTGTACTACTGCCCAATGCCTTAATTTTACTTTAACATTTTTATTTAAATGTTAGAATTTTAATTAACAATGGTAAAGATAACAGAAAACCTCTGTACCAAGATTATTAAACTTTTTAACACTACTGGTGTCGCCATCTGTGCACAGTAGTTATTGTTATGCATTATGAATTACAGGAATTTTTTATTTTTTTGGTTTCCTGAATTTTACGTAGTAATGAAAACAGATTTTTTATAGTTTTCTCTTTTTGAATTTTTAACCACATTTTTGTTGGATACCTACCTTAACTCAAGTTAATTTTTACTGCTTCATATTCTTCAAAGGAAAATCAAACACAAAACATTTAATGGAAAACTATATTAACTTATTTAAATAAAAACAATTTGCTAAAGCACAGCATAAGATAACAATAAATAATTATTCGATTCTAAATGATTAGAATATATTGAACTTCTTTTTCTTCTTTTTTTCTTTGTCCTTTTCCAGAGTGGACATGGAGGAATGTTCACTCTCGTCAATATCTTTATCGATGTCCACTTTGTGTTTCTTATCCTTATCCTTGAGAATGTGCAGTTTCTCCCTGATTTTCTCCCTTGTGATTTTATGTTTATTCTTCTCCTTCTTCGGCTTTTCCGTTGGGGATTTTTCCTCCTCCAATTTCGCCGTGTAAATATTCATTTGGTTGTTTATGCTGTCGTCCTCCTGCGCCTCTCTTAGCCTGTCCATTTCCAGGCACTCAATAATCTCGTTTTTTCGCTCCACAATGTCCACCAGTCGGCTTATTAGTTCTTCTTCCCTGCTTTTGTCCGAGGCGGTTTTGTTAGCTTCTGGTTGAAGCATCAGGAGTCTTATTTGGTACTCTACGTCCGCGTGTTCTTCTTCTAGCCTCTGTTGTCTACGTCTATACAAAAATTTAATTATTTTTGTTCTCAATTGTTACTTAATACTTACAAATACATCAGTTCTGTTTGTTTCCTAAACAACTCATTCTTCTCATTGACCAATTCAAACAACTGCAGAATCAAATCTTCCACGTCAAGTGATAAAGGCTCATCTACAAGACAAAAAACAATAAAAACAACAATCACAAAATATATCATCATACCTGGACTAGAATTATTCTCACTCTTATCTCTGATAATTTGCTCGATCATTACCCCTTGCTTCTCCAAGCCCTGTTGCTGTATCTCTATCACCTCCAACTCCCTTTTTATTTCGCCCATTGGAAGAGCCTTTATGGTCCTCTTTTGCGGTATGGGTCTTTGTGGAGCTTGCCCCTTATTTCTCTTCCATTTCCCGTAAGTACTTTTATTGGGCGCGCTCAAACTACTGGAGTTCTCACTCGAAGTAGGACCTAAAAGATTTATTAACTTGCGTGAATTTAAGAATTGCCAACAATACATTTAAAGCACAAATTATACATCATTTTTAAATAAATAGGTAGTTTTTTACAAAAGAGAGTTTGTTCAATTGCACAGCTAAATCGCGCACGTTATTTGTGTTTTACGTTGCAATGAAAAAATTTAAAAACTTTTTTAGTCCTCGATTTTGATTGATTATTCCTTATATCATTGATTAAGAAACTCAACGCTTAAATGCTTATATAGTTACGTTAGTGTGTGTATTTTATCTAAGGGATTATGGTGAATTATTGTGTTTTTAATTGTAAATAAAATTCAAGAACTAAATCGTTGCATTTTCATGTTTTACCAAAGGATACAATTTGAGTACATTTGTTGGTGCAGAATTAACTAACGAAAACTTTACCTAATATAATTTATATTTAAGTTTGGGCATTTTTAAGAAATTGGTAAAAAATAATTTTTGCACAAACATAACCTTAAAATCAATCATTTTTATGTTGAGTTCTCTAAAAAACGCCGACAACTGCATTTTAAACAACAAATTATACCTACGAATTCATAGTATAATCATAGTATTTTACCGTTGAGTGGAGACTAAATTTAGACGACTTATTTGTTTGATGATTTTTACTGAATTGAAATGTTTACACTTTTCACGTTAATCACTACTAAAATATGTATTTATTGTAACTAATAGGTACAATTTATATTTACAGAGACTGTATGCAATTTATTTCTTCATTCAGATTAACACTGTTTCTTGGAAAACCGGTAAAAACTCAACAAAGAATTTCCTCTCGAAATACACCCAAAAACACAACAAATCGAGCCACGGTTTTTTTTCGATATTTTTTAACATTTTTCGGCTTTATTCTCAGCTGATTATTAAAAGTTTACAACTTACTTTGGACATTGAAATTTTGACTTTGCCTGTGTCGATTCATTTCGTCTTTTTGACTTTTTTCCTTGTCCAAATCATGGCTGTCCAGTTCAGGAGATTTCCTGGGGGGTAGGGGGGTCGAGGACGATACTGGCGGCGGGGGAGCGGCTTTTTTGGCTTTTCTGTTTTTTGGAGTCAGTCTTGGAGTGGAAGCCTACAATAAAATTGTGTTCATAGCGGCCACATACCTTGCGATTTTTTTTGGGGTCATTTAAAAACACAAGTCTACAAAACACCACTTGACAACATTCAAGAAATAAATGAAGAATAGTTCAGGTAGGCAGATAACGTTTCAAAAATTTGGACTCGATATCTAATTAGATATTTTTTTGCTGAAGATCATATTTACTATAACTCAAAAGTCCATCCCTGATAGCACAGTTTATTCTAAGAATGTTTTTTAAACCTTCCAGTGAGAATATTCTTAGGATCATGCTATATTTCTTCTAAAGAACATGCTTAAAAGAAATTAGCATAATCCTAAGGCCTATAGGCAGGTTCTTAGAAGGTGCAAAGTTTAGTGGTAAAAATTAATCTACTCTAAACATATGCTTAGAATGTTGAGAAAGTAATTGCTATAGAAAGTTCATTTAGGAATATTCCTGGAACATTCTATTAAGCATATTCAGTTCAGTTAGGTACCTATATAATAGTAAAATATACCATAATCTACGTATAGTATAGTTTTAAATACTAAGTAAAAAACACAACCCAAATTTTTTTTTTATAGTTATTTGTCAAATTAAAACAATATTCGATAACAAAAATACTTTTACTATAGGTATCTAAATTAACCGGCTTTTACATAAAATCTTCTATCCAACTTAAATACAATGAAAAATGTTTTTTTATGAAGAAATATTTGGTTTTTTCTTTTATGAAGAATTATTTTATAAGGAAATATTTTGTTTTTTTATTTCTAAATTAACATTTTTATGTATAATAATCCTAACTATCTTCAACTTCAATCTAATCTGACTTATCCCACAAAATTTTCCAATTTTACTTTTTATGAAATGTCATACAACTTATGGTTTAGAGGTCAAATTGTTTATTTAATATTTTTAAATAAATATATATTAATATGTCGCAACATTTTTTAAGGGGACGACAAATACATTTCACTGTCATATTATGACAGTGAAGCGTATTTGTCGCCTCCTGAAGAATTTTACGAATGTAGAATCCAACATATTAGAACGTGGGTATCTGACATATTTGGAAATAATCTCAACTTCTAAGAACATTCCAAAAACGTATTCTTAAAATGTTCTTAGATTGCTTTTTAGGAAGGTTTTAAGAAGCTTCTAAGAATCTAATTGCATCATTAAAAGGGTATCTATTGAATGTTTTAAAAGTCCCTAAGAACATTATTAGCAATAAGGGAAGGTTCTAAGAATATTCCATTATTCCGAGTCATATCTTCTTAGAAGATTCTTAGAATCAAATTTTGCTATCAGGGATGTACTGTAGCAGTATTTTTAATAAGAAGTTGGATACATTTGCCTTAATAAAAAGAGTACTTACGATACTTTGACTGGGACTACTAGTAAGCGAACTATGCCCACTTTCGCTGGCATCGCTCCTAAGAATCCCGGGCGGCTTTGGAGCAGGCTTCTTCTTCCTCAAGGTACCAGGTTGACTTGACGTAGACCCCAGATGACTAGATGAAGAGGTAGTGGTGGCTCCGCTCTCCACACTAACCCTGGTAACGCGATACTTCAACATTACTTCGCGCGACGAAATTAAACGTGACGGTAATGTACAATAACAAACAATAATAGATGGGTAAAAGTAGTCGCGCCCATATGGACGGATTAATTGTGTTGGGTGACAGTTAGAAGAGCTGGCCATGCATAATAAACGGGTCACTGACTGCTCGATGCGAGTACAACAAACAAATGAACAAAACAATGCAAAGGGTTGTCGATGTTGAACGAGTATTTCTTGTTTGTAACTGTTTGTTAAGTGTGGAGTTCCGTAAATGTCGCAAAAACACGTTGTCGCGTTTTTGATGTAATTATGACGTAAATGTGTGTCTGCTTTAGTTTAGTGGATTATGGTTAAGTTTGTTGATGTATTAGGTCATTTTTATAAAAAGAAATTTGTAAGTCTACCGTAACGTCACGTAGTTATGGCCCCCTAACTCTAGAGCGTGACGTCATATTAACGGAAAAGCTAACAACAGCCTGTGGACAAAACACGAACTGAATTAAATTGTCCAAAAGAAGTTTTACTTCAGCTGTGTATTTTTTTATTATTGGACGTATTATACGTCCAATAATAAAAAAATACACAGCTGAAGTAAAACTTCTTTTGGACAATTTAATTCAATTCGTGTTTTGTCCACGGGCTGTTGTTAGCTTTTCTGTTTCATCTTTTGTAACGGCCAGTTGTGGTTTACCCCGACCGCCCTTAAACTTTTTTTCTTACCTTGGCGTAGGCACGGGCATTTTTGCACCCTCATCCTCGTCCTCGCTCCAAAATGGGTTCAAACTGATCCTAGGCGCTTCAATAACCTTCTTTCTACAAGCAGCCAACGGTTTCTCTTCCTCATCATCAAAAGGGTTAACACTTTGCCTTTGAGTGTAAATCCTGGACTCTGGAGTATTCACCATTAGCTCGTCCACTCGGATCTTTCGTTTTGCTCTTGGAGACGGCGTTGGTTTAAATTTATCTTCATCTTCATCTTCATCTTCGCCGAAAGGGTTTAAGGAGGTTTTGGGAGGCGTTTCTTCCGGTTCATCGTCCCCAAACGGGTTTAGATCTTCGGGGTACGAGACTTCTTTTTGAAGAAGTTTTTTCTTGTTTTTACGCGGTTTTGGCACCACTATCTCTGGCGGTTCTTCAACCTTTACTTCTATACTTTCCTGCGTTTCTTCTTTAACATCTATAGAATTGTCTTCACCTTCTTGTTTTTCCTTGGGTTCTTCTTTATTAATTGACTGTATAGATTCATCTAAATCTTCAACAGTATTTAAACAGTTAACTATGGATTCATCCAAATCTTCATCTTCTCTTATATCCACTGGTTTGTCATCATCTTGTTTTTCATTGGGTGTCGATGTATCAAACTCTTTCTTAATTGACTGTATAGATTCATCCAAATCTTCTACAGTCTTTAAACTGTTGTCATCACTTAAAGTTGAGTGATTGTTGACTGTTTTGCTTTCCAAAACCAGTTCTACACTGTCATCGGAAATCGTTATGGTGCTTATTTCGTTATTATCATCTTTGCTGTGCTTGCAATCTAGCGGAGAATCATCTGGAAGCTCTAAAGGCACAAGATCATCATCATTATGTACACTATCAGACTTTGAATCGCTATCGAAAAGTTTTCTGTTCGTATGATCTTTGGTAACGATATTTTCAAACTTATCCTCTAAACTAACACTATTATTTACACTTAATTCGAGTTTATTTGTCGTTGGGAAACCACTGTCGAACGCACTAATACTACGTATGCTCTCGTTGTCGCCTGGCGGTGCTGTTTTGGGCAAATCGGGCGGTTCTTCGTTTCCGGAATCCGTTTCGGATTGCAGTACTTGGCTTTCGAAGAATTGCGACCTAGCTGCGCTCAACTCCATCGTGAGGGTGGAATTTTTCTTCAAACTATTGTCGTACGGATTCTCCAAGGCCTCTTCGAACACGGAACTATAACTATCATCTTCGAGGTGTCTCATTTTACTTAACGCACTTTTTTCCTCGTCACTTATGCTCCTACTGAGCACGGAATTATCGTCCAAGTTCAGCTTTTCCTCGTCCGGGCACATTTCACAGCAGTACTGCCCATTTTCTGTTTCGTAATAGTTCGCCAGGGTGAGTTGGGATTCGCATCGAGCGCAACGAAAGCATGTCCTATGATATAATTGTTTTCCTACATTTAACCTCTCTGCTATAAATACTGGTAAGTTGCATTTTGCGCACGGCTCTCTTCGTATTCTACCAGTACCGTGGACAGAAATCTACAAAAAAAATTAGGTTGAAACAGTTAAAAAAAATGACTTTAGGTTTTTATGCTTTATTCTTTTATTTGTACACGATAAATTACTGAGAAATTTTACTATACTATACTTTTGGGTGAATATATTGTTTTACTTTTAGTCTAGAATGGGTTTTTTGGGAAGCCACCAGGTCTAGTAATGCAAACAAGGAAAAGTTGGAAAAGTTATTAGGTGGGAGCCAATGAACAATAAGTTGACTTCTAACCACTGTTTCCACTACCATAAATTTTTTTTGGTAGATAATTTGGTCAAAATTCGATATAAATCGCTATTTTTGAAGTGTTTTTAGTAAAACATGCTAAAAGCATTGTTTTTTGGAATAACATTTTGTCAAACTTTATCAAAAATGGTGTCTGCTAACAGCATTTTCTATTATATAAAGATTCTTTTATTAAAACGTATTTTAAATTTATACACAGTATGAAAAAAATATTATTTTTTTTTAATTATGGAAATTTGCAAGTGAAAATATAAAAGTGGAAAAGAAGAAAGTTTTCTTTTCTTTTTCTTTTTAAATTTTTACTTGTAAATTTCCATAATTTTTAACAACAATAAATTTAATAATTTTTGCTTCATATTTTTTTGTAATTATTTTTTATTTTGTAGGTGTTTTTTATGGTGTGTATAAATTTCTATTCCTTTTTACTTAAAAAATATGATTTTTTAAATTTAAACCCAGTTTATTTTTGTTGTTATTATGTTGTCTGTTCATTTTTAAATTATTTTAATACATTGACAAGCATTATTTATGTTTTATACGTTTACATTACAAAAACTCATCTTTTCCAACTTTTCAAAAATTTCAACTTTTCATGAAAAGTTGCAACCCTAGTAATAACATAACATGGTTCTGCACTAATGCAAGAATTTTAAGAAATCATACATTTTGAATATTAGAGCTTCACGGAAGATATCTTCATGGAGGTTAGGATTTCGTATGTTTTTTTTAAACATCCCTTTGTATACAAATATACATAAAATATTTATAATATTTATATATATATATATATACATAATATTATATATATATAATATATATATATAATATTTATATATATATATATATACATAAAATATTTATAAAAAAATCTACTTATTAAGATATTAAACTTCACGGTGGATAGGTTTTTAAATATCAAATTAATGAACTTAAACTTTTGAATTATAAAACAGCAACACTCTCATCTGCAGATAAATTCTAACTGACCTTCAGGAATTACATGCATCTATAATGTCGTAAACAGAGGTTTTTGCTTATTTAAAATGACTAAAGCGCCATCCGTTGCATAAAACTTAAAGCAAAAACAGATTCACGAAGGATAGAATCAATTTTTGTAACACCTACATAAATAGTTATAAAAATTATTTCTTTTAATTTTTAATATTTTATATTTGATTCGATTGCTTTGTTTTAATTTACTTAGTGAACTGATATTTTTAGTATGCTTTTACTACATCAAATATTTGAAAACATATAGGTTAACCTAGAAAGAGTAACAGTCACGGAGGATAGGTTTTAGACTTTTAAAACAATGTAAAAAATAATTCCCCTTTTATGAGTTCTAAAAATTTGTATACATTTCAACAAAACTGTCTGATGTCTACAAATTTTCTTTTTTATAAACAAAACTAAGAATATAGCATTTCAAACCTCGTTAAATTACATACATAAAAGCAATGATATGAAAGGAAGAATGGTTACCTTCAGCAGAATATTTCTGGCTTATATTGTCCGATAATGTCCAGACTCTCTTCCTATGAAAACAAACAGTGTGGGTTAACATAAAAAGCACACACAAACAATGAAAACTGTCGAATTTTTGTGCAATGTTTGGCTCCTTTGGTTATCCACAAGTAAATAAAATTTTGTGCAATAGCGTCATTAACCAACCCAGTAATGGTTTTAGAAAATATATTTCGCAACAAAAACTATGATTATAATTATTATACTAAACATACAACTAACATACGTACAAGACGTTACAAAATACTAAAATATTCAAAACGCATACAATTATCTATTAAAATACAATGGGACAATCAACGTGTCAACATATTCCTATTTAAAAAATAACTTTTAAGTTTATATATACACAACGAATAACCTATGATTATAATGTACAATACTTTTAACCTAACCCACACTGTTCATTACATGTTTAGTGCAATTTATAAAGAATATATAACATAGAAAAGAAAGGTATACAGTAAAACCAACCTACAATAAGCAGAGGATAATTAGTATAGTTAATTTGGTATATCATGCCAGTTTCAATATTGTTCAATGTTCTAAAACTGTATTAAAAACCGAAATGAGCCTACGATTTTTAAGTTAAAAGGAGAACTAACTCATTAATTTCAATACAGTTTTAATTTTCCATACAACGACAAAAATCGTAGGGTTATTTGGAAAATTCCCAATTAATATCTTGTACTAAAATATTGAAACTAAACATATTTCCTCCTTAGACCTCATTAACTTTCGTACCTGACTTTGTAGCAAAGTTAAGCGATGTTAAAAAGCATGCAAAACAAGATGAAAATGTTAATTCATGTATAAATAGGAGTATACATGGGAAAAAAGAATGAAAAGGTTGGGATTTACATAATAAAAGCATGCAAAGTGACAGCGGTGTGAAACTAAATACGAACCGATACAGGGTGTTATGTAATTAATGAAATATATTAAAGAAGCACCTGATTTTTTTTTAATTCTAAAGACTAATAATTGAAAATAACTAATAATTTATAATAACCTTAGAAACTTTAGGCTAATTTAATTTATTATGTTATGGTTGGTAACAAAAACTATCAAAAAAAGTTGCCAGATTTTGTTTAAATTTAGTTAATTACGAAAATGACAAATCTAGTGCATTTCTTTCAAATTTTAGGTTATGGGCCCAAATCGTAAATATCTTAACTTAGGGAAGTGCTTTTGGATTTATTTACACAAATTGAATGTTTAAAGTATAACCTGTGAACTTCATCTGAGTAAACAGAAAGAAAAAACCGATGAAAAAATTAATTTTGTGGTTATGGAGTTTTTAAAATAGTTACTAAATTTTCTAATCATTGCTTAAGCAAATAAATGGATCAGTAAATAAATACAGAAGGGTATTAGAGCTTAAAGGGCATAGAAATTTTGTGTTTATTGAGTTTTTAATTATTTTTGCAAGAAAACTCTTTTGGCTCTGTGATCGGATTTTATTTTTTTTAAGTTATTAAGCGTGGCTATATTTTAATTGAAGACCCTGTATAAAGTTTTACTACGGGGTATAGTATTGTTAAGCATGCAGGACAAAATGATGGAAAAATGATTTAAATGAATAAAGTGTTAATTAATTTTGATAGTATTTTTAAAAGCAGATTTAAACAAAAGTAAAGAAATATTATTTAGGTAACTGTTAATTTATGTTTTTATAGTGTTTTTTAGACTGGGCCAAAAAAATCAACTATTTTTTTTTTTGAAAAGTATGTCGAAAATATGGTTTGGGGTGACAAAAAAAAATATTGTGAAAGTTTGAGTCCATAATATTAATATTAAGAGGTCTATCATCGCAATTTTAATTTTTTTTCCTCAGCAAGTTTTTATCTCAGAACTCCCAAACCATTGAGTTTAACAAAATTGACTCAAATATATTTTTTGAAGAAAATTGAATGCTCTACAAAAAAGGTTAAAACGAAATTTTCTGTCAGATGAACCGTTTCCTTAAAATCATGCCTTAAAAATTGTTATAGTTTTACAGTTTGATGTTTTAACTTTGGAATTTTGTAATTAATGTAAAAAATGAGTACCCATAAAAAACCCCAAACCATATTTTCGATATACTTTTCAAAAAAAAAATAACTGATTTTTTTGGCCCAGTCCAGTGTTTTTAAATAAAAAATTTCTTTAATTTTGTCTCAAATAAGAAAAGTTTTGTGCTAAATAACAAACTACGCTAAACAACAAATTTAGAAATTTTTCGATTTTTTTTAAATTGCGTTTTACCAACAAATTTTTTTTTATAAAATTTATAAAATTGTTGTCCAGTATTACTACAGCTACCTATAATTATATGTTAAATAAAATGTTTTTAATGAACTTAAACACCAATACAAACTAATACTTAAACTATGAAAATACATGAAAAAATGTTACTAAAGCGCAAAAATAGCAAAAAAAACAGAACATTGCACAAAAATAAAACAAAATAAAAAGTTTGTTACAACACATCAAGAAATCTTCTTAGTATATAGTCTTATAATATATGTATTATTATTATGTATTATGACCATTTTAAGAATCTTTCTTTTCTCAAGATTTCTTAACAGTTTCAACTAATTTTACCTTTGTAGGTGGACTTGTGGATGCAGGCGACACTATACCATGGTCTGTGGCGGGTTGAGGCCTTTTCGCTGGAATTCTGGTCGCTGCCGTGCCTAGAACCAATAACAACACTGTTCAAAATCACCGGAAGACATTAGGTGTGTGCTGCGATAATTATTATAGTTATAGTTTTATTTTTGAATATTGTTATCACTTGTAAATGATAAACGCTATAAAATTGAGGAATAATTTTATTGTGTTTTCAAAACATTATTAATATTTTTGCCCATTGGAAACTTTGTATTTAGCAATAAATTGTAATTATAAACAACTTAAAATAATCGTTTATTGCAGCTGTTAAACCCATTTACGACTCTTGTGATGTTAAAATTAGGTCAAAAGGGTAATAAGGAAAATCTGTAAGTATTTATAAATGATGATGTTATAAGGCAAACAGAAAATGATTTATCTAGCGTATTTGTTACAAATTTACTCGGTATTTACGGTATATTGCAAGTGAATGTTACAAGAAATTCTAATCAAGGATGCCTTGGAAAACCACCAATTTCATACAAAAAATTCTGTAATTAGATGAGCAACAAACGATTTCACAAGCTCAGGTGGTTTCTACAGTAATAGAAGAATCCTACATGCTTCGGTATGTGATTGAACATTGCATTATACCTGCATAGCTATTTGTTCTTAATGAAGAAAGAATGGGCAATCGTTATCCAAGATCATCCAGCAGGAAATCTATTGAGTAATTAAATTAGAATAACAACAAAAACGCGTATTTACAGGTAGTTGTGTTAAATGTTTGCCAACGGTCGTTTCCTGGAACCAAAAAATCGAGTGTGTGAAAATTAGTTAACTGTATCTTTTCCGTTGTTTTAAATATATGTTTGTATGTATGAGCTAACGTAAAGGCAATTTCCATCTGTAATTATTCAAGAATAGTTTTATATACGCAAAATCTTGAGAAACTAATAGATTAACAATCGATTAGACCAAATTTTGTAAAATTCCTTCTATTCTATTCCTAAAGATATAAAACTATAGTGGGTATAAATATAATTATATTTATTCTAAGATTAGTAAATATTGGTACGACTGGCTTATTCTTAAAAATATCCCACACTCACGAAAGTGTCCGACATTTTGGAAGATTTATTGTGTTAGTTAATATTTGGTTTGGAATTATGAAAGAGCTGCTAAATTAGTGGAATTAGTAGAATTAACCACCAAATGTATGTGTAAGTAATAATTATTACATAATTATATTTATGTGTGTAGTATTATGTATTGAATTTTGTTGGAGTGATATAAGGTAACTATTTTTTCCTATGTCTTAGAAAAAAAGAGATGACATAATCCACTCTTTACCTTTTGAAATAAACATGGTCATTATATCCTAACATTTATTTAAAGTCGAGCAAAAGTTAAAAAAAGAATAGTCAATATTTGAAACAATTATTGCTTAAGTTACATAAAGATGCCTTACATTGAATCCAAAAGTAAATATTGTCTCGCCAAGAATTATACCATTTATATCAAAAAATACTTATTCTTAAATTAAGCATAGTGTATATTTTATTTGGGGGTGCTTGCATTTAAAATATTATGATAGTTTTTCTCGAAATAGGAATAAATTATTAAATATATTTTTATTCTAAATCGAGATAAATATCGAGACCATTTATTATTATTATTATTATTTAAATCATTTTATGTACGACAATAATAGCACGGTCATGAATTAAAACTGACAACAGTGGGCGGTGGCAAGAAACAAAAGAAAACATCAAAGGTATATATCGATCGATATCTCTTGGTTATAGGAAAAACCGTTAGCCAGCAATACGTACCAGTTGTACATCGATCTTTTTGATGTCTTACCGCAATATTGTTATTGCATTATGTGTGTCTTGCATTGCTCTCTATTCACCTTTGTTGTTGTTTCGAACTTGAAACAAGTGCATTTCTTAATTACGATTAGGATTTACGATATAAAGGTTTTGTGTTTTAAACAAAGTATATCTTAAATTGTGAGTACTAAAATATATTTGTTTGTTTTGTAGACCACACATTTAAAGTGTCAACTTTCTCCCCGATTATCCCTACAGAAAAAGGAAAGTATCTTTAAAAAAATGCGTGTGTCGATATATAACGATAAGGCAAGTCGAGTACCCGGGTACCGTCAGACAGTTGGGTACCCGAGGTACCCACGCCTTGACTTTCACGCAAAGGTTTGTTTTGCATTACATTTTCAACAGCTAATAAAATTACGTACTCTCTTAAAATGAATTAGTCAAAAATGACTAATTATAAGTCATATTTGACCAATTGTCATAGCGAAAAAGAAGTCACTAATAATTAGTCAAATTCTACTGAATGAAATAGTCAAATTAGTATGTTTAAATTAAAAAAAAGTTTTGACCCAGCCGGGGATTGAACTCAGGTCTGTCACTTGTCAAGCTGTTGTCATAACCCATTCGGCTATCAGCCGCTCTTATAAAAATCAATTTTATTTGCATCTTTATTTGTTTTTATGGGTCATTTAACCATGGAGTTTAAAGATTAAAGAAATTAGTTACTTTTAACTCTCAGAAATAGTCAAAGATGGTGACTAATCTTAAACTATTTACGTAGTAAAAAATAACTATTTAAAAGTGAAAACGACTATTTTATTAGTAAACAATTCTGGTACTAATTCAAATAGTAGAATTTTGACTATTTCATTTTTAGAGAGTAAGTACTAATCAATAAAATTAAATAAAATTTCTCGGCAACCCGCATTACAAATAATATAGTTTAAATTATAGAACGCTTAATTATTTATGGCATTCTTCGATATTTTTTACGATAGGTTGTTATTAAAAGTTGCACTTGCATATTATTACCTATCAATTTGATCAAGATACCTGCGATTCTTCCGCGTTAGTTCAACATAGCCTACATTTGCCAGTGGCGTGGCTAAAAGTGGGCCTGAGGGTAAAAACCATTTTGCAAAGATGTAATTTTATAAAATAAATAAGTAATGATAATGAAACTTATTTTTATTTACAGAATAAACTTTTTTTACTGTTGATAAAATTCTCATTTTCTATAATGAAGCAGCAATGTTGAGCTTTTATTAAAAAAATGTTCTTCCAACAAAGTTGTTTTTTTGTTATATTTATTAAAAAAATTTCTGAGTGTAATTCCAAAACCCCATGTCGCACTTCAAATGGAACGATTATGAGACTGTTGGGAGAAATTTTAATTAAAGGACATTCTCAGGACACCAGTAAACTACCGACGCCACTGCACAGGTTAGTCCATTAGCTTTAAACGTCGCAGATTATGTAATTAATAAGCGCACGGAAAATAATTGAAATTAATTTGATTCCTCTATGCATGACACTGAGTGGCTGGCTACAGTTTGTTTGTTTTGCATTTTCCTTTTTGTTGGAATAAATTGACGCAATGTCATTAAATTCGAACGGTAAACGATTTGATTTATTGGCGCGATTTCTTCGTCATGTTTTATGTATTAGAAATAGATGCGGTAATTTGTTAATTAGTAACGGGAAACGCTGTAAAAAATCATCTGGCGATGCGGGCATTTCAGGAAAATAAGCAAATAAGTTCAAGGAAAATTGCTGATATCAAACTAAAAGTACGGTTACATCCTTCAGTTAATTTTCCCAATTATGTTTTTAATATTCTGGTACTTAATTTTCAGAGCAAAAGTTCATTTGACATTTTCTTAGCTAAAATAATATTTGAAAATAGGTTTGGGGTTTAAATCCATTAGGGACATTTTTTTAAACAGTTTTATATACAGTTGGCTTTTTATAACAGTTTTGGGTAGTTTCAGAACATTTTTAGAACCGTTATTCAAACAGTTCTAGAACATTTTTGTTAGACCAAAAAATATTTTTTAAAAGATTTTGGACATATTTAAAACAGATTTAAAGACATTAAAAAAATATTTTTTTAATTAACTTTTTCAAAACACTCCTAAGCTGTTTAAGGGGCTTTTTAAAACTGTTGTAGGGAAATTTTAGGGGATTTCTCAAAAAACAGTTTTTAGTTTTTTATTAAGGCATTTTTAAAACCACTCTAAAACCGTTTCAGTCTGTATTTAGAACTGGTGTTTAGATAGTTTTAGGAGCTTTTTTAAAACGGATTTATATCTAGGCAGTTTTGAATTATTATGAAAAAACAGTTTTTAGTGTTATATTAGGACATTTTTAAAACACACTGTTTTAAAATTATTAATATAGGTACCCTTAAACAGTTTTAGGGGCTTTTTCAAAACGGATTTAAGACAGCTTTGAAATATTAAAAAAAAAAACAGATTTTAGTGTTTTATTGGGATATTTTTTGGGGTTCTTTAAAAATTCTGCAAGACAGTTTTCAAAAAATATTTAAGAAAGTTTTTAAAAACATTTAGAAAAAAAGTGTTTTATTGAGACATTTTTAAACCACTCAGTTTTAGGGTCTCTTTAAAACTTTTGTAGTTTTAGGTGATTTTTCTAAACAGATTTAAGACAATTTTAAAACATTTAAAAAAGTGTTCTTGTTTTTAAACAGTTTTAGGGTCCTTTAAAAATTTTGCAAGACAGTTTTAGGGGTTTTTTAAAACATGTTTAAGACAGTTTTTAGTGTTTTAATAGAACATTTTTAAAAGGACAGTTTTAGTTTTTTTATACTGTTGTAAGACAAGTTTTAGGGGATTTTTTAAAACAGATTTAAGACAGTTTTAAAACTGATTTAAGACAGTTTTAAAACACTATTAAAAGTTTTATGGCATTGAAACAAGAAAAAAACAGTTTTAGTGTTTTTTAGGACATTTTTAAAACTTCTACAAGCTTTAGGATCTTTTTAAAACAGTTTAGGCCTTTTTTAAAACGGATTTAAGACAGTTTGGGAACATTAAAAAACTTTGTTTTATTAGGAAATTTTCAAGCATTTTTAAACAGTATTAGGGTCTGTTTAAAACTGTAAAATCGTTTAGGTACTTTTCAAGAAAGTTTTTTGACATTTTGGAAGAATGTTTATGGACAATATTTTTTTAAACGTATTATTTAATGAACATAGAATGTAGAATAGTTTTAATGTTTTAATTTTTAAAATTAAATTTCTGTATACCCGAAAAAACAATATTTTCAAAAGCACATAGGTAATATTAATTTGCCAAATATTAAGTAATATCCTTTGGTAGCTCATAAATATTTTCTTAAGGTGTGTATAAACCAATAATGGTATATAATAATATAATAAATAATTTGTCAGTGAAAGTTTTACATTACAAATAATGAATTATTGTTATATAATACAATAATTACATGACGTTTATTACCTTGCATTAAAAATGGCGAATGCGCCGGGATTAATATTTAATTTAAGCCTTCTTGCAAAAACCAACCACTGATTAATAAACGAGGTGTTAATCTTGTGCTACAAAAAGCATATAATAAGTATTTTTTAACAATAATAACATAGCTCTCTTATATTTTGTTAAGCCAGAAACAAGCAATAATTACCCGTTTTGAAACAAAATAAAAAGAGTACAAACGTGTAAATGATCCTAAAGTGGCTAATGATCAATAGTAATAAAGTTAAGGTACCAATTTAGCATGTGTGAAACAGTATTAAGTCTTTACTACATCCTGTTGGACTGTGTTATTAAAGATTTTTTTATGTTTTAAATGACTCAATATTTTCTGTATTTTATGACTAGTGCAAGTGTATTTAAATAATCTTTTTATAGATAAACTTTGAAAACTGCAATATCAACAAAATTATTTCTTATCTTTGCAAAAAATAAACATCCTTTATAAAAATTCAGTTAATATTTAAACATTATATTTAACAGAATTATACAATCCAAATATAACCAATAATTCCATTATAACCACTATTATGTATTCTAACCGCAAAAGAAATTTATTAAAGCATAAAATTGAAACTTAAACAAAATGTTTTTTCCTTATTGTAAATCAATGAGTATCGATCGAACCGATTAAATCTCGGTTTTCAATCGATAAAAATAAATTGAGTGTCAGGCTGATAATTAAAGTCAAAACTTTCTCCTAAAGATTATTGCAGATTTGGCCGCAGGTCACCATATATAAAGAAACCTAAAAGGGAAACGAAATGGGTGTAGCAGATGTATAAAAAATACCCTGCAAATATAGTTTCTTAATATTATTTCGTTAGATCATTAAGGTTGTGGTTAAACTTAGTTTATTTGACTTTAGGCTTAACTATGATTTAATATTGACATTTTATATGAACAATTTGTGCATTGGCTATTGCAATACTAATTAAAGTTAATGCTAGAAAAATTTCTAAACACTTCACTGTTAAAAATGTTATAATTTTAATACGCAATACACTGTTAAAATTTTTTGTAAAATTAAAATTGTTTTTAGTGTAATATTTTTAGTAAAATTACAATAGAAATTTTTAACAGTGTTAGTTTTATGTTATGGTAAAATTTTTACATTATTAACTCAATAATTAATATTTCTTGTACCTTCAGGAGTTAATATGGTATCCATGCGTGAAATAAAATATTGGTTAATGCAAAAAAATTTCTCCTATGCTTATCTTAATTTATATACATTTTTATGTGCTCAGTCTGTTATTAAATGTCGATCTTTATCTTTACGTAGTAATTATAGAGGTAGAGGTATTGCGCACTATAGTCACTATTGATTTTCATTTTTAAAAGCCATAAATAATAATGCACTGTTTTTCTTAACATAAATGTCTAGATTTTGGGTCACAATAGATTGTTAAAAAATAACAAAATAAAGGTCAAGATGCTGAGTTGTCCTTGTCAAGTATTTGAACACTTATTAAAAAGTCTTTTATAATAAAAACAGCTACTTTGTAATAAGAAACTTCTAAGAAAACATAAAAGAGAAAAATGTTTTAAGGTTTTCTTTACATCTAAAATGCACAATGTTATTATAAAATAACCAGCTTTCACATTATTAAATGATCGCGTCTTTTTTAATGCTAAAATGTATGCTAACAACTTAATAATACATTAATTAGAAGACATAAAATCGTTTACTAAACGTTCCTCGTTGGTTTCCTTTTAACGCTTTTCAAATCAGCGAATAAAAACATTGTTTCCTAATTATTTAATCGTGTATATATACGCGTTTTGTTCTTTGTTCATTTATATCGAGCTACAGAAGTTTCAGCTTTCACCATTCAAAAAGAAATATGTAACAAATTGCATTTGTACGCTTTTTGTTGTGGTTTGTTTTAAGAAGTAATTAGAAGATAATGTCGTTACTGAACATGCGAACTGAAAACACCTACAAGGCTACTAAATATTTTTAGTGTAATTTGTTCTACAAAAAACAATGTGTTTTGTATTACTGCAAAACGAATTTTCTTCAGTTCATTAAAATTGTAAAATATATTTTGTAATTTTCTTAAACTGAGTTGAAATGAATTGTACGATAATGGGAGTAAAAAAACTTTACCCCACTTCTTTAGAGAACATAACTAGTATTTAATTTATCACAAATAATTTCTGTATCTACAAATGACCATAAAGCATAGATAAAACAATGAGTAATGGAGATATGTAAGTCACATGTTATGTGTAGAACATGAATAAATAAATCTATTAATATAATATTATAACTAATAAAAAATACATGCAAGAAATAAAAGAAAGAATATTGAAAAACTTACCGTGGGTTACAGCAAAAGTCTGATAAAACTGTGACAAATAAGTCAAAATTGAGAGACGATCTGGTACAGGAAATTCCACCATGTCTTCTGGTTCTAAAAGTGCTGGAATTCCCAAATGGTGTTCTGCAATTCTGAACGCCAGTTCGTTATTGTGGTAAATGTCATCTTTGTTTAGTTTTGAGAAGTCACTGAAACAAAACATAACATTTTAACTACTTTACTTATAAAAATTTTAATGATTTCTTATAAAATAAAAATTAAGTTAAGGTTAATTATGGTGTTACATTTTTTTAACAATGGTACGGGTTTCATTTAATTAGTAATTTTATTTGTAATTCTTTGAGATAAAAAATTTTGATTGCAAATATAATAAAACAATGGTTTTATATTTTATATGTGAAAATTGTTGTAAACAAATTAAAACTGTTAAAATTTAAAAACATATGCATACATTTTTTAATGTTATCATTAACAAATCCAAAACGTGATAAATTTAAAACCAAACTTATCTATATCAATGAAGTTAAAACACGTTGAAACTAAACACATGTTACCCTCTTGTATTAAAAGCAGTTCATTACCATTTTTATCTATTATTCAAATCCTAGACAATATTCCAAATGTCAACGAACTGATAAGTGTTTTAACAGGTTGATGATTTTGTTAATTAGTCTATAATATAATAATTAAGTTACAAAATTCATAGAAAGGTGAAGTCTGATAAATTAACAACTTAATGTATCCCCATAAATAAATGTCCAATGGGGTTAAATCTGGTGATCTTGGGGGCCACTCTATTTCCCAGAAAAACGCAAGTTAACACCTTTTACAGACACCGTGTGTATACCTAATAAATTATTTGATTTGATTTAATTATAAATTGTAAAGTATATTCCCTTTAAACTGGTTTTTAAACTTGTGTGAAACCTTATCTTGTTTACATTATGCACAAGTGTCATATTGAATTAAGTATATACCATAAAATATCACATGAAAGTAGATATATTTGGTTTTTTATATAACAATCCCATTAAACAAGTCTTGGGGTCGTTTATAAAATATTGCACAATATGCCGTTCAATTAAATTTATAAAAAATAATTTAAATGGATAAATTGATTATTTGTTGAACCAATGTGGCTTAATAACATACCATAAGATTAAATTAATAGTTTCTATACTCGATTATGTTTTACAGAAACCCTCTTTGTTTTTTATGATGTTGTACAACCCAGACCATTTATAAAATTATTATCGCTAAGAAATTAATACAATCAAATGAATTAAGGAAGACAATGGTTATACATAAATAAACAAACTGTATAAAAACGTTGCTAGGCATATTTGATTGATATTCATGGTCAACAAGATATAGAAAAGTAAAAAAGCAATTATTTACTAACAAAGAATCAAGTAGTTACATATGCACTGTTTAGGAATCATAAGGTTTCTTTATATTCATTTAGCCATAAAGGAAGGAGATTCTTATGTTAATAATTACTTATTTTATATTAATTGCATATACAGGGTGATTTGGCTTGAAAACTTAAATAAAACTAATAGTATATTATGTATCAAGTTTGATAAACGGCATTTTATACACGAATTTAATTTACGCAAGAGCGAGCTTGCAAGCGAGTGCTTAAATTAATGAGTGTATAGAAAGGTTATAAACGAGGTGCATACTATACTTTTTCTACGACAAATACTTATTATTATCTTAAAATGATTTAAATAAAAAATTTGTATAGAGCGCCATCTATGAAACAATAGGGGAATCTGTGTGTCACCGACAAATGTCATATTTTTATATTTTATAAACACAATTATAAAGGTTATAAATCGAAATGTATTTCTTGAAAATTGACAGTTTTTTACAGTAAAAGTAAAGAAAATGTTTTATGAGCACTTTACAGTGGAGTCCTTGCCCGAATTTAAGTTATAGTTATAGTTCAGTACAATGTTCATATAAACTTTCCAAATATTGGCGTTGAGAAACTATTTAATACTTTTGTATTTTTGTATTAAGGTAATAAAATAATTTTCACATTTAGTATTATTTTACAAGAAAGGCAATTTATTTTAACGATTGTTTGACATTTGACAACTGTCAACTAACTTAAAAATAACTTCAGCCCGTGACTAAAGCGCCATAAAGCCACAACTTGTCAATGTGTATTTAAAAGGTCACTTAGTGTCATTTAAAGGTGGGAGTAGAAAAAATGTTTTATTTAGTTCGCTAATTCCTTTTATTGGAATTATTGAAGGCTAAATCATAAAATTAAGTAGTACTTAATAGTTTTAACTGAAACTATTTATTACCAAATGAGGAAGTAATATCCTTGCATATTTTACTTGTACTTCCACTTGGAACTTGGTAAAATGTTGTAATACATCGGTTTCATTAAAATACTATGCATGGAAGATCCATTAATTTTTTTTTAGTTTGTTTTATTCGTATAGTAATTAATAATGGGATTATTAAATATCTTTCTCTATTTTCCTATTTGCATGGTTCAGCGAATACATTTATGTCTATAAATTCCTTTTGGGCATTTCAAAAATTGATTATTATACTTATTTAGTTGGCTAATAGAAATATTTGCTTAATTTATCACTTATAATTATTCACTATATATAATTTTTAACTTATATAACTTTTAACGTATATACGTTATTTTTTGAACGAAAAAAGGTATTATTACATAACCATTCATTATAGTATACGATTATCATTCATTGACAAATAACACAAAAAGTATTTGATGATGAAACTTAATCACGAAAAAACGTTGGTAATTATTTGGGTTTGGTTCGATTGTAACCCAATTATATCAATTAATTGATCCATGGCCGAAATAAAAGTTATGCAAAAGGCCTTGTATTTGAATGTACAAAAGATGATAGTAAGTACATAGTTAAAGGTATAGTAAAACATATAAATATTTTGCAATTTAAATTGCCTTTTACTCAGGTACAAAGCAAAATTTTATAGATTTATTTTTTTCATAATGTTCAAACAAAACAGTATTAATATGGGAGAAAGCAATGTCAAATGCCATCTTATATTTCTGCTATTTGAATATTGATTTACTTGTTAGTTTAGCAATTAACAATTTAAAAAATCATAAGAAGAACTTTTTAATATTAAATTTATGCAAATAATTCTTTAAAACATCTTTGAATAAAGTTGCAAACATATTAAATTGGAGAAATATTTAAATTAATTAATTAAAATACATCTGGCTACCATGTTTAAAAAAAAACGAAATTTTTTACTTACATTAAGTCTGGTCTAAAGTGATGAATTATGGCACAAAACGCAAGACCGTCCCTCCAAGATGTCGTCATATTGTCAATTTTGACACCTGGATAACCATCTGTCATTCTTCGGCACCAGAGCTCTAGACCTCTAGTACCTCTTCGTTCACCCATTTTTACTGTATTTTTTTATCTGTAACAAAAAATATAAACATTATTGGACATAATTTATATCATGAAAAGTTATTTGAATGTACAACAATGGTTTAAAAGTCTAAAACCTATCCTCCGTGACTATAACTCTTTCTAGGTTAACCTATATGTCAGTTCACTAAGTAAATTAAACACATCCAAAGCAATCGAATCAAATATAAAATATTATTAAAAATTTTATAACCATTTATGTATGTAGGTGTTACAAAAATTGATTATATCCTCCGTGAATCAGTTTTTGTTTTAAATTTTAAGCAACGGATGGCGCTTTAATCATTTTAAATAAGCAAAAACCTATGTTTACGACATTATAGATGCATGTGATTCCTGAAGGTCAGTTAGAATTTATATGCAGATGAGAGTGTTGCTGTTTTATAATTCATTAATTTGCTATTTAAAAACCTATCCACCGTGAAGTGTAATATCTCTTTTTTTATAAATATTTTATGTATGTACAATTGTATTTTTAAAAAATATTAAGGTGTCCAAAGATACAATAACTTATTTCACGAGAATTGGTGGGAAAAATCAGCTTGGCAACACTGCTACCAAGTTCTCACCCATAATGTTGATTTACTTTACCTTTCAAACGATTTTAATACATGTACACTATTAAAGAAACACAGATAAATGGATAATAGAATGTGATACAAAGTGTTTTTACATGTCGCTATCTACGTGAGTTATTGGCTGGGTTTGTATTAGAAACTATGTAAAAACATTTGTAGTATTTTTAATAAGTAAAATAACGTGTACTTAAGTAAGAAGTAAAAATCAATTCTGAGTATTTTATTATGATATTTTTTGTAAACATTTAAAAATATTATTTTTGGAATTAATGACAATAGTTTTGCACAAAAATGACTTATCACCCTAACCTTTAAATCCTACTGACTTATGACTTATCATTGTCGAAATTTGTTGAACAAATGGGCCTCAATTTTTATAACGGCAACGATCGAACGTATCTATAGATCTGTCTAGTTTTCGTCTGGGTGAATGTCCAACTAGTACAGGTGTCAAGGCAAAGTGCCAAGATTATTAACCTGCATTATTGTTATTGTTTATTCTTGTTTGGATTTTATATTTTATATTTGTGAAGTACCGGCCAAAACATTAGTTAAAATGTGCCTCAATTTCAAAAATCACTGGAATAACTTAACTTAACTTAAAATAAGGTTAAATTTAATTTTAAGAATTAGTCATAAAGTTTAATTGCAGGAAGCAGAGACATAATAAGAAAAGAAACAACTTTGAATACAATCAGAAAACAGCATTAGTCACCGGCATTTATTGGCAAAGAAAATGTCAAAAACCTACATAAAGTTTGTATTAAGAACTTAAAATGTTTTTTATATATTTTATACAATGGCGTTTTTTGTCAAACAACTGTAAATTTTAATAGGAGCAATTTATAGATTCTATGCAAATCCCTCTATTTGGGTTAATTATTGTTTTATAACAAACGCTTATTAATTAACCTACATAATATGAACGAAAAACAACGAAGATATAAATTAATTACAAAGTGTATTGTTCGTTAAGGCTATTCAACTTATGCTTTGGGCATATGCAAAAAAAACAACAACATAAAGTACTAATTGCACATACATATTATGTCATAAAACTACAGTTAACCTTTAAGTATCAACAGTGTTTACTTGTTAACAACTATAAAACTGATTTTTAATTAAATATATTTTAAGTAAATTAGCCTAACACTAAATTAACTAAATATAAAATGATAAAAAGCTAAAATTACAAGTATCAAAATTTTATAATAATAACAGCAAAAACGACAAGCTAAAATGACAAAGAACAATAATTAAGACAATCTAAAAATGAAAACAAGACAAAATAGTGACAGGCTAAAATGATAAAGAGCAAAAATGACAAGCTAAAATGATTATGTGTAAAAATGACTACAAGCTTAAATGAAAACAAGCTAAAATGAAGTCGATTCTTTAAGGTTAAACATTTTTGTTGGGTAAAATTATAAAAAAAATCTAGTCAAAAGTATGCAGCACAATATTGAGAAGAGCATTCTTGGCCTAAGTGCAAATTCACAATAAGAAAACTATACAAAGTAACAGAACCATAAAAGCGCCATAAATTGTTAATACCGCAACAATACAATAGTTTTTAATTTCGCATATCTGATATGTATGACATTTACTTCACTCACGATTTATTATACTGCAAGAAAAAAAGGCAACCTGGTAAGTTTTAACCTCACTTTATTTTATTATTATTATTATTAATATTAGTAAATAAAAATAAATTTGTTTATAAATCTATCAACAACTTTTTCAAAACGCCTCGTACATTTAACATTTGACTAAAAAAATAAGTAGGTGAAAACGATGACTTTTACATTTAGAAAAACGTACTGGTTATACAAGTTGCAATAAAGTTATAAACAAGTTTATGTATTCTATATTTAGTTCACGAGTTTTTTGGTAAGCAACTACGCCATATCAAATCTTATAATACTTCTTCTTTGATTGGCAAAAAAAATATTCACAAGTTAATAAAGTTTTTCTCAGATTCAAAATAAGGTCAAAGCCAAAGTAGGTAATATTTACGAGTAAAATTATCATTATCTATTGACTAAATTGCATTCGCTGGTGAATGATTATCCCAAGTAGGCTTAGGTGCAAATTCTAGAAATGTCACTAGGTCGGATGGTATTGTTCATGACACACGGCCTTCGCAATAATTCCATACATAAACGATGCCATCTTTAAACCATTGGCGGACCAGATTTCTTTAGTTTTATAGTCAAAAATGAAAATGTTAAAAATCTTGAAAAAAATTAACAAAAGTAATTTTTATCAATTAGTAAAAAATAGAATTAAAACGTTAAAATAAAATATAGTGTATTTTGGAAAAGTTATTTGGTAGATCTCACTAAAAATAATAAAAAAAAAGTAAGTGTTAATAAATGTAACGGTGTTACAAAAACTTGGCACACTTGGATTGTATTTCATAAGAAGTTAAACCTAGAAGTAGTTCTTTTATTGTTGTAAAATATTATAATAAAAATACCGGTGTTACACTGTCCTTTAAATGGTTCTCATGAATTTTCTAGGATTTCATGGTAAACGTTTAGAAAAACTTGCACAATTACAGTCGTGCTTAGTAACATGATATGTCGAGTTTGCTATAGTGTAAATTTTGCAATATAGAGATCGAGAAGTTCTCATAAATGTTAAAAAATATTATTTTATAAAATGTATCGTTTAAAAACATTGCCTTGTGCAATAAATACATCCTAACACTAGCACAAACACATGGTAAAGCATATACGACAATTAAAAACAACAGGTGTGTACCTATGCGCATTCAATTGTTTATTTATTGTTAATTGCATCATCGATTTTATACAACAACAACAAATCGAGAGTTTCGCCACAATTTGAGCGATCACGATTAAATAAATTATCCGATTACGTACACTATAAATTCTCTTACTTTACTCCCTTGTCGGATTTTATTGAGTACTTAGTCCTTAGCCTACTAAAGAACACTCGATGTCCTTACCACATCGCCCCGTATAGAATGTTTCTACTGAGTGTTTCGCAAAAAAGTCCAGTGGAGTCAAGTCTGGCTTTCTAGGGTTCTTGCGGATAAGTTATAACATAAATTGTTATGGTAATTGTTTAAACATTTTAACAGTTATTGTGTCAACTTTATTGGAGCGCAGATGCCAAGATTACCAATACAAATGTTTATTATTGGAGAAGTAGATCAGATATTTTAATTATGCATTTTGTTTAACTGTGTATCCAGCGATTTAGCTTATGTATTTACACCAACAATATTTATACAATTTTATAATAAAATTCTCTTCCCATGTAAAAATGTTCACTTATTCAAACCACATTCTGGTTACCATATTCGATGAATATTTACAATGCTTTCAATCACATCTATCACTATAGTGACTATAGACATTTGGCAATGAAAAAAACAGAATAACGACTTCCAATATAAACAAAACAAGAATTTTCTAAACTGTTTATAATTATCATTTTTATTGCTTTTTAATATGCCAGTGTATGAATGTTATATGCTAAACAAATAACTTGTTAGTGTCATAAATTATACCTATCTAATTTTTAAATTTTATTTCTTAAGATGGGAATATTAATATAGTAAAATAATTAATTAATAATATTTTTATTTACAGAATAAATTTTTTTTACTCTTAATAAAATTCTCATTTACTATAATGAAGCAGCAATGTTGAGCTTTTATAAAAAAATGTTCATCCAACAAAGTAATAGTTGTTATCATATTGTCATGGCAATAAGAAATACTTTATGTTTATATTAAATCTTTGTCGAACTTAAAATGTTTTTGTTAAATCTATAGTTGTGTGTGAATTGCGCTTACATAAAGTAATGCGCAGTTGTTATAGTAAAATTTGACATATTTGTCTTTTTTAAATTACTATCATTGTAATTCAAAATAATCTTATTTCTGTTAGAAAATCTTTGTTAATAGCTTACGTTAAGAACAATAACAAATATATTTTATTGCTACAAAAAGACTTTTTTAATATTTACCATTGTTTTGCAATGGTAACAACATTTTTGTTATTTCCCTTAAAAAGAGGGGAAAAGGGCCAGTGCTCTCCTTGGTGAACATAACTTTATAATCCAAAGTCTGTGTTATAATCTTATTGATTTCACTTGTGCGAGTGAAGTGTGGTAAAATCTAGCATGATAAAAATATCAAAAAGATCACTAAAAAAATTAAAATTTCGACGTTTTCTAAAAGAAACATTTAAGGTCTATTCTATAAACGAAGCAGACTTGTTTAAAAAGTGAGTTCCTATTTTTTTTTATTTTGTACATCATATAATATGAGTTAATTTTTTTGTTATAATAAATAATTTGTTTTAATGCCTTGCAATTAACATTAGGTTGAAAATGTGACCATTGTTACAATGAAAATAGTTTATTGAATTAACAA